TCGGAGAGTTTTCAGCAACCTTGTGAGTAGTTACCTTTGTAATGTGTTATTTGTAGGATGGACTGATCGATATTTTTAAAAAAGCTCTGGATGGCATACCAATAAGACAGCACACTTAAACAAACAAACACCTCATTATCTCACCGTCTCCTGTCTCCCTATCTCAATTGATCCACACTTGACCGGAAAAAGTGCGTTTCCGCTATCCATCATCTGGTCATCTGGTCATCTGGTCACTTTATCGGTTCCCCTATATTGTTTGGGTTAGCACTCAGTTCGCCACTTGACCTTATACAAAATGGGCGTTTTAGTGTCTGATCCCTATTTCAGTACTACCTTGGTTTGTTACAGCAGATTGTCCACAAAGTGATGTTGGCTGTTCATGGGGTGCATCACAATAAACCAGCCACTTGACATGAACACAATCGGACCAGGGGAAGTGGTTTCATCGTGTACGAGATTGGTACTCACGTTGCAGTCAACAGTGGATAAACTGTTGAGCAAAACTTCGCGGCCCCATCTTTCTGCGTTCAAGATGAAACGCGCAGTGGGTGGCCTCTTCGGCCTTCGGATTTTTGAACTCTCAAAATCCTGGTCCCGAGACACAACGCCGCGGCAAATGAAGTTCGCTCAAACTCGATAACAACCTGATGCATCTGAGAGGTGGATGTTCAGCACTCAAGATTACTTAGGTATCGATAATTCAGTCTCAAAAACAAGGATGGTCATAAGGACTTTTTAAAAACTTGTTAAACATCCAAGCTTTGGTAGTGGATGACTCGTACATTCGGAGAATTAGGTTGAACTGACGATAATTTGAAAGCGGGTTGTAGAGTTGCAAAAGACGTCCGTATCTTAAAGACCCATGATTGGAAAAGTTTGGGCAACAGCCATTTTATGTTCTGGACAGAGTTTCAACAGGCACAGTCCATTAAATTCAACTGACACTTAAAACTAGTTTCCGTGTCTTCGTGGTGAAACAGTCATCATCATCGTCATCATTATCATCGACGGCATGACATCAGTGTTCAACACCGATGATCCACTGCCGTACAACGATGATTTTTTTGAAAGACTTATTGTGAAGAAGAAAATAAAGTTGGACGGGGGAGGGACTTAGTGCTAACTTACCATTCCGAGGTGCTTACACCTCCAGACACTCACTCAGGCAATCTGGATAGAAACTGACAACAAGAACGCCACTGACATCAGTTGGCAGCCATATCTTGTAGTGTCTCCAACCAGGCACAGTGAGGATCACGTGGTCCCCATTCCGGAAGGCGAGTAGCACCGACAGCACTCAAGCGTTTCGTAAGCTCCTTCATATTCCTTGGCCAGGTCAAGGGTTTGCCACCTCTTTTGCTTCCGCCACTCTGATTTGGGCATGGAAAACAGTACTCTCTTCGGCAAGCGATGGTTCGGCATACGTAACACATGTCTCAACCAACGCAGCTTCTGGTGCTGGACACATTCTTCAATTGAAGTACCCGTCGCACAACCGAAAACTCTCTTCTAAGTAGCTTCTCTACGGATTCTCCAACATCAACTTGCAAGAGCTATGATTCTGAGACTACGATTGTCAAGCACCTGAAGACGTCTCAGTTCCGTTGCTCGAACAGCTAAACAGATAAAGCAGTAGCTCCGCTCAAAGGAACTAGATGATACAGCGAGTCAACGGTGTGGGAGAATGCTGTGACTGTAAACCAACTGCTGCTTGCTCTATATATCACAGCCTTAATCTGAGATAGCGGGAGAGGTGAAAAGGCCAATTGGGACACTTTGTTAGAGATTGACTCAAACTTTGTGAGCTGCCTGAAATGGCTTCTTTCGAGTGCTTCGTGGTTCAGGAGTCATTACCAACGAGGGCGGAGAATTAAAGAACACATCTATCTGGAAGCAGTCTTCACTCCAAAACACAATGATAGGTAGGTTCTTGTTCGGAGGCCACCTCAAATTTTACTCAATCCCAGTTTGTAGTTCAGATCTTCTTGTGGACTGTGAGTTGTGGGGCCAATCATAATATCAACGGTGAATTTACAGTCGAGGATATTTTAAGGAATAGAAGCTCTCTCCTACTTTTTTCCAGTATAAAATATGACTCTTTCAAATGTAAGACATAAATAACCCACGGTTAAAATCTGTCTAGACTCAACACGCTACTCATAAGGCTGCGGAGCAATCGCTGACAGTCAACGATCTTATGTTCCAAGTGCACCCAGATTGAACAAGTACACTAATTTCGTTTTAACGAGAGACTCAACTGAATGCAGCTGCATCACTCGTTTATGATGGCCTTTCCCGTATACGAGAGATTCAAACGGATTCAGTTGGTTCCTTCTAAATGCCCAAATTGGTGTGCAAATGAGAGTATTGGGCGAGGATCTCTCTCTGTTTTTAAGTGTTGTATATATACAGGAATGCACAGGCTATTGTGCATCTAGATCTTATTATCGAAATTAGGTTGAACGCGCGCGAGCTGTAAGTCTTTGTGAGAAATGGCAATCTATTTCTAACGTAAACATACTACTCACTTTCTTTGGTGGCAGGGTTACCAACTTCCATTTGAAACACAGTCGACGAGGATATTGCTTTACGATGTATGGATCATTGTAACTGGCAACGCAGTCCACACGAAGCAACGTTCCCTCCTTTACTCTGTATATAGAATTGTTCAGAGACTTCCAGCCGGCAAAATGCTGGAGACCGGATTGGTTTGCTTGAACGGAGCTAGAGGATTGCTCTCTGTTCAATTCTGTAAGCTGAAGTTCCACTTCAGGAGCCAAAACCGGTGGAGGTGGTGGCCACTTGATCCGCAGCATGCGATTCCATTTACTGTTTGGATACTTACAAAAGATATACAGCGTGGTTTGTTGCAATTGCATCTTGCGCAAACACAGTCCGAATCGGGGGTCGAACTCATAGTCGGTGGAGGGTAGTTGGTCAGTATCACCAAGAGAAAGCTGATACGGTGTTGATTTAGCATAGAAGTCCGGTTTTTCACGGTGCACGAATGGTCCAGGACACGGAACAAGCATAGGTTCATTCACAACTGGGTGCATCGTTCTATCAAGTGTGTTGGCGATGGATCCAGTATAGAGGAAGACCTGACGATGGTCAGCTGATGGTGATACGGGATAGTCCCAGCGATCGATACAGTGGTGTTGTTCGAACCAGGGACAACATGGACAGCAGTCTGGTTGCCCAGACCGTCGTTCCCACGTTGCATTTACCGTTGTAAGTAGTTGGCGCGCTCGTCGGTGGCACTCATACAATCCTCGTTGCTTTCCCCGGATAGCCGTCTTCTCAGACAGGCGGAAACGGATTGTTGAGCCCCCGTCAGGTCCTGCCATGACTTCCAAATAGGCATTTTCTTCCTCAAAAGGAAACGAATGCGGTAGGATCCAGTGGGAACCATCTGGACATGTGAGTGTGATCACAGAAGTTCCATCAGAGACGTCTACATTCTGCTGACGGGACAGATCTACTTTTAACTCATGGTTTTGAATGGGTTCACTTGTTGTAACGTATCTCTGCGATGCGGTCGAATGTCGAAAACCAGGTTGATCTGGAGCACAAAAAACAGTCACATGACACGTCAAAAGTAAAATAGATGCGGTGCTAAAATTAAGCTTGATTGTGTTGATCCACCACAATCGGTAGTATGTCATCTCATGGTTCGCCCGTACTTGTTCTGCTGCGGATTAAAAACGAGCAACAATGAAGCTCTGAATGAATACAATCCGGCGAAAAGTTGAGGCATGTGCTGCCGTTTGTGTGTGTACAAACAGGATGTGAATTCGTATAAACAGACGGTAAAATCAGCCAACTACCAGCGCCTCCGAGTCATACATCATCTATGCAGAGTATCGATTAAAGTTGCTACATTCATATGTTTATGAACACGTTTCGTTTGATGCTCGTGCACTAATGTGCGCGGATCTTGGTAGGTTTTAAAGAATAACCAAATGAGTAAGTGAAGGGGTCACTTCTGGTAATGCGCTAGACAGCAGCCTCCCATTAAAAGAGCCCACCCCAGACTGCAGTCGCTTTAAGCTCAACCAATGAAACTTGGCTTGAAACCCATGCGTTTGACGCCGTTCACTAATGTGCACGGATCTTGGTAGGTTTTAAAGAATAACCAAACGAGTAAGTGAAGGGGGTCCCTTCTGGTAATGCGCTAGACAGCAGCCTCCCATTAAAAGAGCCCACCCCAGACTGCAGTCGCTTTAAGCTCAACCAATGAAACTTGGCTTGAAACCCATGCCCTCTGGCAGGTTAACACCCAAATTCAAAAACAAAAGACCGCACCCAACGTTCCTGTGGTGCGAAGCTCGCTTCATAGGAAGATCGGAGTTCAACATTCCTGTACTGAGCTTTGGTGTATTCTGACGCCATCAGATGGGTATCTGGTCCATGGAATGGAAACGAAATCTCCCCAAGGTAATCGGGGATTCTCACCAGTGCAATACACAACTACGAGAGTTTTTCCATCCATGGAGACCACCTTTTAAATAAAGTCATTTGTAATGACTTCCCAGTCAGTCTCTTGAAACCCGCTGGACAACTTTTGTTGAGGCATGTTGTGGGGTTTTGGGATGTGTATTGTTCACGTACACACCACTCTCATTTGAACAGTCGTCCTCCTGTCCTGGTGCAATCATCTTGTTGAGTCCACACCAAAAGGGGGGGGAAGAACGGGACTCGAGTTCCGCTCTTATTGGAGCTCATCAGCAGTGCATATCCAACGATATGTCCAATCGATCGTCACGATCAGGACAGTGACTGGGTCGTCGTACCGATGGTGTGTCGAGCATGCCAATCACATCGCTCAAGCGTGAACACGTTCGCCCGCCCAGACGTGAGAATTCAGGTGCGCCCAACTTGCGCTGGTGGAATAGCGCATGTCAGGTGTCCGGAGTTCAAACCCAGCACGGCCATTGGATATCCATTGCTGATGAGCTCTAATAAGAGCGAAGCTCGAGTCCGGTGCTTCCCCCCTTTGGTGTGGATTCACCAGAATAACTGCGCGAGGACATGATGACGACTGTTCAAACGAGTGATGTGAATGTGAACAATATGTATTCCGCAAATCCCACAACATGCATCAAAGTCAACTGTGGTTAAAACTTCTGTGTGCAGCAAAAATTCACGTTGAAGAGACCAGGTACTGAAACGGAACACTTTTGTTAAGTGCTTTCCAGACAGTCTCTCCGGAACGAACAACCTTAGTATACTTGTAATGTACTACTCAAAATAACTGTGGTTCTTCTGTGTGCAGCAAAAATTCACGTTGAAGAGACCAGGTACTGAAACGGAACACTTTTGTTAAGTGCTTTCCAGACAGTCAGTCCGGAACGAACAACCTTAGTATACTTGTAATGTACTACTCAAAAGGTTGCTGAAAATCCGTCGACAGCCCACCACCGGTTTCGCCCTTCTCTTTCGGTCTCATCAGGCAGGCGCAGTCCCCGAGTTTCCGTCAACCTTATGTTCTACTTGAAACCAAATTGCACAAAATTCGCGAATATACACTCATTTGCAAACTAATTCGGTTCTTCGAGAAACTCACCTGGAACCCAGCTGAATCTCTCGTTTGTGATGTTTTCAGGCAACCTTATGAGCAGTACAATACAAAGATATATATGTATCGCGATATCTCGAATATCGTAGCGACTGAAACATGAGGTGGCAGCACATTCAGTTGTCTGAGAACATCACAAACGAGAGATTCAGCTGGGTTCCAGGTGAGTTTCTCGAAGAACCGAATTAGTTTGCAAATGAGTGTATATTCGCGAATTTTGTGCAATTTNCCTTCGTACCCGCTCAGGAGGGGCATCAGGAAAATGGAAAAAGGGGATCTCTTTCACAGTGTGACACTTGTATAAGGAACTTGAATGACCACCTCAAAGGACTGACCAAAGGTATTCCCTTCTGGCAGTTGCAGTTTTATAAAGGAATGCTGACAGCCGAGAAGAAAATCGCTTCTTCCCATAGTGGTCTTCCAAGGGAGGATGGATGGTACACTGGAGAAATGGAGAAAAATCTACACATCAAAAATGGTCTATCTTTGGGAAAAATCTTTCGAATTTAAGTTTTGCGGATTCCACATCAAAACACTTCTTGGCGCTATTAAAGGAAGCCTGTTGTCTAGGAGACCAACAATGCCAACTCGGTTGATTTCTGACGAATAGCACCAGTTTAGAACGAACCTACTTTTTGAAAAAAGAGTGGACGTAATGGAGGTCATTTGTTGGTTTATAAGGTCATGTTTTCCGGATACGGAGGAGTTGTTTCCCTCGGAGAGACTATCCTACGAAAACGATCAGTGATGTTCGCTTCTGGTAGGGTGATCACTAGTGAAATGCGTTTTAGGAGCATACAAGAGTGGTCTCTTTTGAAGGCTGCCCTCCCCCCTCAAATGAGACTGTTGAAATACCAAAAACTGACTGCAGCCTCTAAGGAATGCCATGATACAGAAGCCTATATAATATATACATACATATGTATACACATAAATAATATGATGCCACAGAAGTATGACTTGTGGAAAATTTAACATAGTTTAGTACATCCAATGTAACCGCCGACATTGGAACTGACCCTGTTTGGACAGACCACTCTTAGCATGCACTACCTCCGAGGAGAGTTACTTCGTTTTGATCGCTTCCTGTAGACGGTAACCAGGAAGACACACATATACAGGACAGATGATTTTCCATTGGCTCGAAATTTGACCCATGCCATTTTACCAGTTGCGTCATTTCTAACTTCGATAGTTCTGTGCTCTATGGGGCGAACCGTTGGCACACAAGAAATTGGACACTATTCAACAGACCAATACCGGTTTCACCCTTCTTGGGACTAATCGGGTGTGAAGACATTAGACTGAAGAATACCGTAAACAAGAGATTCAGATAAGTTACCAGTGAAAACGAAATCGGTATGCAAGCGGGTGTATTTACGGTCTTTATTGACTCTGGTGGCTACATCAATGGCCTTGAGCGCGCTGCGTTTCTGGACAGCATGCTTAGCGATCATCATGACATCAGTGTTCAACACTGATGCCTCACTGCCGTACGACCATGATTTAATTGAAACTGTTATTATGAAGAAAAGAGTAAAAGTGAATGGCAGAGACACTTAGTGCTAGTCTACCACGGTTATTCAGAGGTGTCTACACTCATTCAGGCAATCTGGGTAGAAACTGACGACAAGAACGTCACTGAGGTCAATTAGCAGCCACATTTTTCAGTCTCTCCAACCAGTCACAGTGTGAATCACGCGGTCTTCATTCTGGAAGGCGAGTAGCACCGAGAGCATCCAAACATTTCGTAATATCTTCCATAAATTTCTACCGGGTTAGCCACATTTCTACGTCTGCCACTCTGAATTGGGCACGGAAAACAGCACCCTTTTCGGTAAACGATGGTTCGGCATACTCAGCACATGGCGTAACCAACGCATGTTACGCCCAGGCGCGAAACATTGCAAGCAAGCCTGTATCCATATGGTCAGATCGGGGTGTTGTAAGCCTCTCACAGCTTGCAATCTCATCTGATCCGGTGGAATTAAATTTCTCATTTCGTTCTTGAATGGTGAAAATGTGGGAGTTTGTGTCCAAATTTCGGCCCCAACGCAAATTTGTGATACCATTCTACGTATGTTCCCAAGCGAGGGGTGCTGTTTGTTCGGGGTGGGAGTCTACCGAGGTTTTATTTGTGTGCAAGTGACTATTGCGTTTCAGCTGTTAGAAAACCAGATCTGTTGATGAGTGTCCAAAAGGATGTGTACTTTTGACACCGAAGGAGGCCTTTACTTAGCGAAAGGAACTCCTTTGTAAGCAAATTTGGTTTTGCGAAAGACTCACCTGGAACCCAGCTGAATCTCTTGTTTATGCTGTTTTCCAGAAAGAGGAGACCGGTCGTGGACTGTCGAAGAATTTTCACCCACCTTATGAGTTGTGTATTGAGGCTTAATGGACAACATCCTAAAAAACAACCTATATAATGACCACCAAGTTGAGTAGATATATTTACTGTTATGTCTAAACTGCTCCTGCGGCCGCAGAGACGGAGGGAACAACCTTTGAAACGCACTAAAATACTTGAGAAAATGTAGCACATTACTGTTTTTGGTATTGGCCCATTTATCTGCTTCATTCACATCGAAACTTCTCAGTTCTCTCAAACTAAGGCTCCTTTCATAGCCTAAATGGTTACTGATTCTCAGTGGATTCGATTGCCTGAATTCGGCCCTTCAAAACTAGAAGTTTTATTTTCGCAGCTAAGATTTGCTTGTCACGTGACGCAGCCCGTGGTGATTACCACGCTCGACAAACCAATGAGATTTCACTTTCTCAACCAGTAATCCGGGGAACAGACGATCGTCTTATCCGACTGAGCACAAACAGAAATATTATGTGAACTTCACTCTGGTACAACTTATCGTGTGCATTTGGCGAAACACGCGTGACCAGCGGACGAAACTGTTCACAATTAGATTGTGAACATGAATCAGGTTAGGTCCGTGATGTGAAAACGAGGTTTCTGAAGGGTCTTGTCAGCCTTGTTATTCTGGTTCAAAGTATGCACGAAAAATGTCGCCCTTGAGTAAAAAAGGCCAAAACAAAGTGGAGGTAGAGTGACAGTATAGGATCCCAAACCGTGAATAACTGATATCTTGGACGCTCCGC